TCCACGGTGCCCAACAGCAGCTACTGCTTCCAAAGTCTACTAATTCCTGTATTTTGAATCAAACAGCCACTCCTATCTGAAACATTCTTGATATTATCTCTCCCAGCTTTCTCCTCCTGGATGGAATATTTAGAATTTCTCACATATAGACAGACAGATATAAAGGATGATGCCTTATAGCATGAAAAAGAAATAAATAAAAGGCAACCAGTCACAGAAGGATTTTTCCTTCCAGCTATACTGTATCTACCCAGGCTCAGTTACACACAAAATAGCTCATTACGAACCTGAATTATAATAAGAAGACAAATTCCAGCACCCATTTCAGCAGGATCTCCATACATTCCAGTCATAACATACACAATGGCTTGCCCAATGGTAATAATCATCCCAAATACTAAAACAAGAGAGAAAGCAAATCCTTTAAAAAAAAAATCTGCTGAAATCTCCTACCAAAGAAATCTCACATCTAATATCACTTAGGCAGGCCAAATTTCCCAAGAATAAAATCATGCTTATTAATTTTGAATCGGAACAGCGCTTACATTTCTGAGCTCCGTTGAACAAGGCTCTGTCTTTTGGAGTATCCCCAACTTCAATGATCTTGGCTCCAGCAAGAAGCTGCATGATCAAACCCGACGTCACGATGGGTGAGATACCTAATTCCATCAAAGTACCTGAACGGGGAAAAAAGAATTAATAGCATTGCCACTCAAGCATCTCTCCTCAAGAAGGAGGCTCTGAAGATACTAGGTCTGTTGAAAGGTTTCTGACCTATAAGGAGCCTTTCTCATAACTCTTCAAACATATAACCCAGTACAGGTATCATCAAAACAAAGACCGTTATCTCCTCACAAAAGAAGGCTGCTGTGTTAAAATCTGTAATTTTGAAGGCAGCATGAAAAACCTGTGTAGCTTTTCACTTCCAATATTTTTGTGAAACCATGTGAACACTCAACGTCAACACACACAGAAGAAGCATCTTCTCCCTGGTTGTTTACTCCTGTCAGTGCTTCAACTGTCACGTTTTCCCCAGAAGTTTAATTTTGAAGACCACATGAAAGATGCTGCTGGTCCACAGAGGCCGGTAACTCTTGGACTCCATTTAAGAGCACAAAAGTTTAGGATTAAACCATTTCTTAACAAAACAAACACGTCCTTAAGATGCTGAACTCTGCCAACTCACCTACTGGTGCAATGTCACCAAGGTGTCAACTCCCAACTGTACACAACTCAAACAGGGTGATTCCACTTCATACACCACCTCTGCTGCACTGACTAAGTGTATATTCTAGAAAACCATCTCAGCACAGAAACACTCTGCCACATCACCCTTTTGGAGCCACAGCATTATAAAAAGATTACTTTTTGAAATTTAAGTTGTCCTTCAGCTAATACCTGAAAAATTTCTCCTAGCTGAAGATATTGAAAGCTTAAAATAACCCAAAATGTTGAAAATTCAGATGAAAATTAAGAAACTAGAACTACCAGGTGATCAAACTTTCCACATCTCTCAAGTTGGAACCTTAAAGAAAAAAAAGTTTGGGTAAGGACACATTTTACAAGTTTAATATTCAATCAGGCCACATTAAATTACTTCATCACCACCTTTCACACGGTCAGGCAAGGGTCATAAATAATGCACAATTTTTCTGACGTTAAGTCACAATATCCACCAGAGAGATTCAGAAGAGAATCAGCTTACAGTTCCTTCCAATTCTGTTCCATTTCAGTGCAACTTTGCTCTCATGTGTAGCAGTGTTCCCTCAGAAACTTCTCAAGAGAATTATTAATGAACCTTTTAGCCACTGCAGACTTGTAAAGTCTCAACAAGAACCGGTGAGAGGGGAAGATGAGGAGCAGTAGAAACCGTGTGCCCACGGCTGCTCAGCCTAGGAAATGATCTGTCCTCACACCTCAGCTCTGACAGGAGCCCTTCTTTGGGGGAAATATCATTCTGTATTTCCCTCTTCCCCTGTATCAATCATTTATTCAGAAACTTTGAGTTACAGGTGCTGCTTAATAATACCATCGGCTGCCCCTTCCCTCTTACAGTACAAAGAAAAAGTGACTATCCATTGCTTATCCACTTTTTTCCAGAGATGAAGACTTAAAAGACATTTGGCATATTTCATGGCAAAGAATCCTTATTTTTATAGGATCTCTTTTTATACATTAATATCTCTTTCTATACATTAATATCTACCTAATAATATCTCTCCCTGGTGCCTTTTCCCAAGTGTTTTAACTCCACTGTACCCTGTGTGACACGGCAGATCAGAACCACATGCAATATTCACTTTGTGGCACCTTACAGATTTGTACAGCTATTTCTTCTCATCTTTTCAACCAGTTCTTAAGCCATTAGGTCTTCCCTCTTATCCCACAACAGCTTCATTTCCTGAAGAGCCTTTAATATAAGTCATTACCACACACAACCCTAACGAAGCAACATTCTTTAGCTCTACTCAAAGGTATTCTCTTAACTCAACTCTGAATATCAAGTATGTTATTTGTGTGACACCAGCACCGCCGTTCCAGAATCCATTTTTTAGTAAAAATCCTCTCCCGGCGTGTGTGGCATTTAATGGCTGGGGGATTCCATCACTGAGCACACTGGCTCTGACACTGAGCAGCTGTACCCTCACAGGCAGATCAGAACCACATGCAATATTCACTTTGTGGCACCTTACAGATTTGTACAGCTATTTCTTCTCATCTTTTCAACCAGTTCTTAAGCCATTAGGTCTTCCCTCTTATCCCACAACAGCTTCATTTCCTGAAGAGCCTTTAATACGTAATCTGAATTTAAGAAAGATTTTTTGAGCACTTCCCCTCTTGTCTAGAGTCTTCTTTTCATTTTTGCCTAACTACCAGAGTCTTCAGTTCAGTTCTAACTTTTAAAAATTTTAAGCATTATTACACAAATTTTTCTTCTGATTTTTTTTTCTCAGTGTTTTCCCTGCTACCAAACTGTAAAATGTGCCTTCTAGTTTTTTTTTCAATGTTTTCCCTGCTACCAAACTGTAAAATGTGAAAGCATTAAAGTCATTATTTTAATGTGGTTCTTTCATACTTGGATCCTAGAGTTTACACACTGTTCAGTACCATGTTAAATATTACATCATCCCTCACAGAAATCTCTACTTCTCCAACAGCAAGAAAATTAGGATGTCAAAAACTTTAGCCTTTACCTCACATCCTCCAATGACATCTGTCACTTTACTTAGGCAAAAATTAACTTTCCCACTCCTGCTTTTTGTTGCCTTCGTGTTCTCTCTAGTCCTTTCTCAGCCACTGCTACCGTTCTGTCTGGGTAGTGGACACAGAATTTTATGTGCAAATTCTGCAGGAGAGTTTGAAACAGATAACTTATTGACCTTAATCAATTATTTTCAATGGTGTGACAAAATTTGCCATCCCTAAATAATTTGTACCTTCACATTAGAGGGTTGCACTGATTTGGTTACTTCCAGCCAGTTTTCCAAGATACAGATGAGGTCAGTGTCTGCACTTAAGAGTCACGCGTCTTAAGTTTTAAACTTCTAGCATTAGTTTAATTCTTCTTATACATTAGGTTAGGATCCACTTGTCTAATTCTAAAGTAAGTTAGTCTGGCTGTGCTAAACTATAATCATAGAATCATAGGCAGATAACTTATTTATCTTAATCGATTATTTTCAATGGTGTGACAAAATTTGCCATCCCTAAATAATTTGTACCTTCACATTAGAGGGTTGCACTGATTTGGTTACTTCCAGCCAGTTTTCCAAGATACAGATGAGGTCAGTGTCTTCACTTAGAGTCACGCTTCTTAAGTTTTAGACTTCTAGCATTAGTTGAATTCTTCTTATACATTAGGTTAGGATCCACGCACTTAAGAGTCACGCGTCTTAAGTTTTAAACTTCTAGCATTAGTTTAATTCTTCTTATACATTAGGTTAGGATCCACTTGTCTAATTCTAAAGTAAGTTAGTCTGGCTGTGCTAAACTATAATCATAGAATCATAGAATCGTCTAGGTTGGAAGAGACCCTTGGGATCATCGAGTCCAACCATCTACCCTGCTCTACAAAGTCCTCCCCTACACCATGTCCCTTAGCACTGCATCTAAACGGCCCTTAAACACAGCCAGGGATGGTGACTCCACCACCTCCCTGGGCAGCCTGTTCCAATGCCCGACCACTCTCTCTGTGAAAAATTCTTTCCTAATGTTCAATCTAAACCTACCCTGTTGGAGCTTGAAGCCGTTCCCTCTCGTTCTGTCACTAATTACCTGTGAGAAGAGACCAGCACCAACCTCTCTACAAGTGTCCTTTCAAGTAGTTGTAGAGAGTGATGAGGTCTCCCCTCAGCCTCCTCTTCCTCATACTAAACAGCCCCAACTCCTTCAGCCGCTCCTCATACGATTTGTTTTCCAGCCCCCTCACCAGCTTCGTTGCCCTCCTCTGCACTCGCTCCAGCACCTCGATATCTCTCTTGTATTGAGGTGCCCAAAACTGGACACAATACTCGAGGTGTGGCCTCACCAGTGCTGAGTACAGGGGCATAATCACCTCCCTAATCCTAACCATCTCCGCCCTCAGCTTTCCCACCTATAAAATTACTCACACGTTCTGTTCCCGAAATATTCTGAGGCAAAACTGGCCTGCACACATAAGGTATTTTCTGCTCAACGTGCTCATGTTGCATGTTAGTGCTGTTCATTAAGTGGTGGGGCAGAACACTCCCTGTCCCTTATGTTAATCAGCAAGAGACTGCTCTACGATTCGAAACAGAATCATCCTTAAACTTGTGAATCAGGGTTAATCTCATCTGCACGTCACAGGAAATCCCGTTCCTAAAGTGAAATACTCCTCAATCGTACTTACATCTGTGTTAAGAACTTTACAAAGTGTTCCAAGGAGACATCTGAGTTGTATGAAATTTAACAGCCAACCCATTTTCTCCTGGTCTGTTTATACCACTAGAAAAGAGAGAGAAAGGAAATAATCTACTAACCTCTGTTTGACGCAAGAATGACTCGCATCCAATAGAAGGGATCTGCAGAATCCGATGACATGATTCCAAACAAAGGTATCTGTCAAAGTGCACAGAGGTATTAAGCAGATACACAAAGAACACCTCCATTAATCCCAAAATCTTAACGTGGAATGATTCAGCTGTTACATTGTTTAATATCATTTATTCCTTTTTTTTTTTTTTAATTACACCAGAGCACACAATAACAAGATACTGACACCATCTATTTTAATCCTCCAACTGGGGTGTAACTCAGAGGATTAAACTATGTGAACTAAGACCCTTCTACAGGAAAAAGCAGAAACCCCTCAAAGAAGAGTCAGTGCCCACAAACCAGGTGACTGAAGCTGAAGATGTAAATGCCTGACATACGCCACTCTGGAGTACAGCGACTCCCCAAACGAACAGAAGGAGCATAAAATAAATAGGTTAGTCACCACAAATCATTGACAGAATGAGGAGAAAATACTAGATAATATTCCATTACTTACATCACCAACATTTTTGCAGCAATTTTGTTAAAAAAAGAACCAAAACAAAACAAGCAAAGAAACAAGCAAAGAAACAAGAAAAAACAATTAAAAAAAAAAAAAAAACAAGGGAAAACTGCAGCAAAACATCTTTGAGAAGACAGAAGAAAGCTGGGGTTTTATTATTTTTTAAGCGGTCCTAAGCAGAATTTCTTTTCAGTACAAATTAAAGATAAAGCATGAACTACAATGCAAATATCTTCCTCCAGCTCGTTTAAATACTAAAATTCTACAGTTGGGAATATATTTTAAAACATCCCATATGGAACTACCAAAGTTTATACAAAACTTCCAATATTCTATATGTCAATACTGGGGGATTTTGAGCTCTTTAAAATTCTTCTTGATCACAGAAACAGTAGACTAGGAATCCAGGCAATCTTATAGATTAATTCCTGACAACTATAATCTGCACCATCTGATTTCCTTATTCAACTCCTACAATCTTTTGAACACATTCAAAATCTTAATTATGCACTTATCCAGCAGATAGGAAACACAGATTAACTCCATGTTCTTCTTGTCTAGTATCATTCCGGCCTCTTCCTTCCAAAAAAACAGGTAGGTACAAGAGCTGGGTTTTAGCCTTTCCAAAGCCCTTCAGAGTTAAAACAAAAATTGTTAAACTACTGTTCCAGAGTCTGGAATGGGTAAGTTAATAAATACAACCTAAAAAGTCTGATTCTGAAGATGTGCAGTTCATTTTAAATCTTTTAAGAGCTCTACAAGTTCTAAAAAATACCTATCAAGTCATACATGGATTCTTATTTTCTGCACTAAGTATTCTTTAAAAAAAACCAAACCCACTATCTGTTTACAACCCATCTACAGGTTCCAGGAACTCCTGCAACTGTGAGTAATAAAGATCACGTACATGTTTACAAAGACCTGTGTTTTGGAGGGGGTTTTAGCTGACATTTTTGTCAGTATATTCACGAAAAAACAACGTCAACCTAAACACCTCAGAAACATTTTTCTGCAATCTTTACAACCCATCAGCTTGTTCAAGAGGAACCAGGTAAAAACAGTCACTTTATTTCACTTTCACTAAAAAATTAAATTGAAATTAAAATTTAAAATTTAATTTAGCTATAAAATTAAATTTAGATATAAACAGAGGGTAAAGAATGAATAATGTTGCTCATTTTGATTAGACCACTCAATGAATAATTAACTTGGCCGCTTATCCTGCAGCCAGTATCATCATTGGATAGGACCTTTCATATAACAAGAAAAAACATTAGGAATTTTAGACTAAATAGAAAGCATTCCTTTCTGAAAGCATATACAATCGATAATAAAAAATATCTCAGAGAATCAGGTTTCTTTAACTGAGCTTTAAATACTTAATCATAAAAATACATAACTGAAACTGGCAGGTCCACATGAAACCCAAACTTCTCATGCTTTTAGGATTCCACTTGACGTGTGCAAAACACATTTTCTGAAACACAGAACCCATCACTACGTACCTGGCAGCACACTAAGAAAATGAAGAGCGTGATGGCCGTCCATAGTACCTTCTCTCTGAACTGGATCTACAGAACAGATCGCAGAGATAAATGTGTTCACTGTATGTAGAATTCTCACTGTACTCTCACATTAGTACTAAATGCTGTATCATTCAGAATTAAATGCAAAGATATTGAAGCAGAAGGCATCATTTCCGATTAAAATTTGTTTTTAATATTATTTCAGATTTTAGAGAGACAGTCAGTCATGGGCTTTTGGGTAGTCAAAGAAAACTTACATGGGATCTGGCAGACAGTGTGGCCCACATTCAGTGAGTAGAATATATTTTATATATAGTATTCTAATAGAGTGGGTATTTACAGAAAAGCTATAGGATGGCTAAAAGCATGGACATATACGTGAAAGATTAATGCAAAAAAACTTTTATTCAGTGATTAGTGCTCTAGGCTTCAACAGACTGCAGGTACTGTTTTGTAAGGCTGGAAGGTATTAAACTAAAGCACTATAAAGTTTTTGAAGAGATTTAACTGCTGGGAGGACAAGCGATAAAAAACAGAAGAACCATGAGTTTTGGATAGCAAATCAGAATATTTAGAATTAAGTTCTTCAAAGAGTGTCAGAGGAAGCTTACATTCATTGGTACGTTCATGGACGCAGACCACAAAGTAATTTTTAAAGACACTTTCCCTCCAAAATATTTTTATGGATGTTAATTATATATTACTTTAAAAAGAATGTCAGATGGATGATCATTAGCCACTAACACATTGAAGAGAATCTCAGGGTCACAACATTTGAGGCAACTGTAACTTGTGCCAGGTGCAAGAAGAGAAGAATCACCAGATTTAGGTCTGAACCAGAGGATTACTCAAAGCATGAGACAGAAAGCAATGCACTTAAGTGACCAGAGAGAGCTAAGATGCAGTGTCATGTTCAAGTTCCCACCTCTCCTCCATGGACCGTAAACATTAGGGTAAGTGTGTTCACTGCAGGCAAGAGTACAGCAGCTACTAACAAGTGACATGAACTAACATGTAAGGCAGAGACAGCAGAAATACTAACTCTCTGCCTCCAACCACTGAATCTGCCTGTAGAGAATTAACACAAAAAATGATTAGCGCCTGGTTTTATAGGTAATGAACACCCACAAATGAGAAACTACAAACCCATGCAGAAGCGCAGCTGCTCAAGCAAAAGAAAACCCAGAAGTAGTCTGTATCTTTTATAAGTGAAATCATGCACTTACTTAGAAGCAAAATAATGTCAGTAATTTAATTTATTTACTGATACTGCCTCACTCTCTTTAAAAAGAGGCCAGATGCTAAAAATAGCCACAGAACAAAGTTACAAAAAGAAACATAGTGACAGCAGCAAATAAATCCAAACAGTATCTCCTGCTAGACTTTATGCAGGGCTGACCTGCTTTGCCAAGTGCTGTTTGAATTCTACAATTCAGATTTGAAGTACAGACATCTAAAAAGAAAAATCCTTAACCAAAACGTCTCTGCAGCCCAAGAGTTAGCCTCAGCTGCTGAAACATCAGCCAAGCTCTACAACTGCTCTGGCTCTCTCTGTAACTGCGGTGATTATGAGCATTAGAGAAATTCGGCATCACCCAAATCACAATTATTCACAAGGAAAACAGTCTCTATGATTCAAAAAGACAAAAAAGAAAAAAGGAGGCCATATGCCAGGAACAGCAAAATACAGATTGGTACCAAAATATGCCAGCCACAAATGATAACAAGCACAGGGACAGTACATTTCATCATCTCATCAGATTCAATCGGACGTTTTATTACTTTGACATTTTTCTTAAAACTTGTGAAAACGAAGGGACTTAAGCATCATCTTCTAGACGTTCTGAACAGTGTGTTCTACTGAGGAAAATCTGTGCAGGAGGGAAAGACCAACCGATACTACCAGCTACAAAAGTAGCAATTGCTTCTGTTAATCACCTTGGCCAAAACACAAAAGCAACAAAGGAACACTCACTCCCTCCTGACAGAAAAAGCCCACTTCCCCCATCAACAATAATGGCAAAATGATCCAGTGAGAGGCCAAATGAATCAAAACTTCACTTAACCATCAATACAAGTCTAGAGAAAACACATTTCCTTTTCTATTTTGTTATCTTCATTTCTTTTCCTGGCCTTAACCAACCCACTAAAACCATTACTAATGATGTCTGCCAGCGACAGCTTGCAAGAAAACCATAAATAACAAAGAACTACAGTTATATAGAACAACCTCGGTCATTTGATAAACTACACACAAACAAGGAACATAACTTAAAATGGTTAAAGGGCTCTCCAGTCCAGGAAAGATGTTCCAAATTATATTTTCACTTCAAATTTGTACAAAGCTGGCAACTGACAGTCATTGTCGAGACAGTGACCTAGATAGTAATAAGGACAAAGTGACCCAAATAGAGAGGACAGGAATCTCAGCACCTCTCTAGGCATCCTTCATCTACTGATGGAGGACATAGACAGATCAACCCCCTCTTCCCCTCTGGCAAATAGAAAGGGAGGAGGAAAAAACCCAAGAGAAAAATCGCAACTCTCAATGAGCTTTACAGAAACATCAGTATCTGTAGACTTGTCTTGGCTTCCTCTTCCCATCCAAGCCACTAGACAAAAATGGGATGGATGTAACCAACTAATCACAGATGCACCATAAACCAGCACCAGAAGATAGCAATAGTGTTCACCACTGCAGAGACAAAGGTGGGTACCTTCTGCCCAGACCTGGTGCATCCAGATCTTAGCACAGGGTCTGGCTGTGGAGACTCCTGCTCTGAAGATGCCTTTGTCTGACCTAAATAATTTGTTTAGAAACCTGCCCCAAGAGGGAGAGATGCTGGAAAGCAACAAGGAAAGACAGATGGAGCAAAGAGCCAGGGAATAATCTTTTTTAAATCAGTTCCGGGGGGAAATAACCAGCAGTTTTTACTGTATCTTCTCCATTCAATCCAGGTTACTGGCACAAACATCTCTGCATCCAGTCCTAACCTTCAGGAATCTCTCATCAACGAAAGAGGATTCTCTCGGATGGTGTCATGTTCCCAGCTATGCATTTCCTTTTAAGAATATAAAAATCAACATTTAGCTCTTAAGGTCACGACAATAAATATTAGGTAAATTGGTTACTCTAATTAGAACCTTTGACTCCTAGGTAATATGTGCTTGCTTGAGTTTCGGAAGTAAAAAATGAGGGGTTTGGGGTTTTTTTGACATGGCACATCTCCTCCTAATCTGCAGAAATTAACTAATTTTAATTTAGAAAATTGCATCAAGAAATGTGAGGAGTTTCTAGGGCTCAGGGAACAAAAAGATCAGCTGTAAATGAACTCAGCTCACCGATTCCAGAACTAAGTGTCACATCCAGTAGGCAAACAGGGAGCAATTACCTGGACCATATCACAGATCACTTTCCCACTTCATCAAGGTGAATCACAGATATGGGAGGAGAAGATATTTTGTGGGAAAGGAAGAACTAAATTTGTGGTTCTTGAAGTACAGCACAAGCTTTCTCAAAGTAATATATAAGCCAGCTCAAAGCCAACAGTGGTATCCACAGGAGAAAAAAAACCAGAAAGCTTAAAAACTCTGTTCTAGTATGTTAAAACATAGTCAATCATATGGAACTGAAACTAAATAAACTTAGTCTAAAGATGGGTTGGTTTTTTAAAAATTAGTTAGCATAATTACCAAATGGAATGACTTATCTGAAGGCTGTGAAAAACTCATTGTCGTGGTAATCTTTAACCTTAACACAGCTTCCCCTCCTCCAAAGTATACACCCTACTTTAGGGCCCAGTGACTGTATTCATATTGGAGTGTGGACTCAAATATCATAATATTCTCTTATCTGTGATCCAATAAAAGTAAGAACATAATATGGCACTCACTTTTCTTTCCGGTTTCTGGATTTCGGGTAACACTGCACAGAATGGCTTAATAACTTCTAAAAATTTTACTGTTCCAGAGAAACAAACACACACACACACAAAAGAAGAGAGAAAAATATATTAATGAACTTTTATGAATTAACTAAACTTGACAGAACTTTGTTTAACTTCTAGGTGGAAAAATAAAGTGCAAGTAGCGGTATATAAGTGATTTCATCAACACATACTGTAATTCAACGCCTGGAAACTAATGCCCTCCTCTTAAAACAGTTGAAAACGGGGCAAAAATGTGAAAGAGAATTCTCGTTCTAATCACATTTGGCCTACTCTTTTTTCCACAGCTGGAAGCATTTTGGATGAGAAGTGACACTGTACGTGTCACCAGAATTGAACTAAATCGTATTCCATCTAAAAATAAGTGACCTAGTATCAGTCTGTGCTAGTTTAACATAGAAGCAAAGGATACTGACACCAAAAAGTACCCGTGCAGAGATTAGTATCTTGTGTTTTACAGAAATATTTAGCTGAGAAAATAATTCAATAACGTATAGAAATCATAATTTAAATCACTGCAACACATTCTCATCAGAACTTTGGGGGATTTTATTTTAACTCTTGATACAACTGTTTTCACATTTTATCCTTTAGAGATGCAGAAAAGCTCAACAGTTTGAGCTCTTTTTCTGGGGAAAAAAAAAAATAGTTCAAAGCATGTATGCTTGGTGGGTAATTTGTCCTCCAAAACTTGTACATTATTCCCAGCTGCAAGACATTTGGATAGCCACAGAAAATAATCATCAGTACCCCTTCAAAGAGAACGCATTTATTACACCACAAGCCAAGTTAAGTAACGTTTTGGTTGAAAGACCATGTTTACTTTTACACTTTGCTGTGACATATTTCTCCTTTATTCCAAGCCCTCAGACAGCTCATCAGAAGATGCATCTTGCTCCACAGAGTCAGAGAATGGTTTGGGTTGGAAGGGACCTCAAAGATCATCTAGTTCCAACCCCCTGCCATGGGCAGGGACACCTCCCACCAGACCAGGTTGCTCAAAGCCCCATCCAGCCTGGCCTTGAACCCCTCCAGGGATGGGGCAGCCACAGCTTCTCCGGGCGGCACGGCTCCCACGTGAAAATACTAAAGGCGGGGGGGACGGGGAGAAATAACCCGGCACAAAGCGGTGACTCGTCCCACCGACCGCGGAAACCTGCTCGGGAGGTGGCTGCCCCGCTACCACCGCCGCCTCCTCTCCGGCCTGCCCGGTGCCGGCACCTCAGGCGGGAGGCCACCTCAGGCGGGCCGGGCCGACGACCGACCGCGTCCTCCCCTCACACAACCACCGATTCCACACCCCGAGGTGGATTTCCCCATTAGCCCGGGCCGCAGAACGGCACCGTCCGTACTCACTGCCCATGGCGGCGGCGGGACTCCCCTCAGCCCGCTGTCACCGCCGCTCCCCTCCGCCGCCGGCCGGCGCCCTCACGTGACGCCGGCCTCAAGGCCCCCCCATCCATCCCCCATTATCGCTCAGGCATCGCTCCGGACTACTATCCCTTCCCTAGAGGAGAACGGAGCGATCCAAGGCGGCGGGGAAAAGCCACAGTTGACCCTATTTAACGGCTCGGGGTGAGGGGAACGGGGTGGGCGGCGGGGAAGAACGGCCGTTACCGGGAGGGGGTCAGGCTGGCGGCGGGCAGCCGCGCTCCCACAATCCTTTGCGCGCCGTGAGGGGAGGGGGCCCCCGTTCCCGCCACGCCAAAACTCATGTTTTTTTGGTAATTATCTCCAAATATCTCCCCTGTTCCCCCCCACGCCAAAACTCATGTTTTTTTGGTAATTATCTCCAAATATCTCCCCTGTTGAAAAAGCATAGGGTTAACGGTTCGGCAGCGGTGCGTTTTACCAGTACGCCAATCTGTCTTGAGGAGGGGGTGTGGTAATTTCATGGGTAATTAGGTAAAAACACAGGGCTGTCGGTGAAGCAAACTTGACAGGAGGGCCCGGACTGAGAAGAAGTGTCACTGAAACATGTATCTAACCTTCTTCAGAGCTGTCTGTTACAATGATCTGTAAACTGGGGTTTACCACAATTTATTACAGAACTTGCTATATGACAATTTAAAACTATTCTTCCTGAGTTAACTCATCCCATTCTTCCTCATCAACACGACAAATGTTTTAGGCTAAATTACCAAGAAATAATACGAGTTGGGAAAGTGGCTCCCAACTTTCAGGCTCCTTATGGCTCCTCCCCAACCTTGAATCTCTCTATTGGATTTTATTATGCATTCCCTGAGAAGAAATCCTTTTAAGCAAGACCTTGCTACAGTATCTTTAAAGAATTTTCATAGAATTTTGTTCATCAGCCTCCATCACCTGAAATAACTTGCTGAGAAAGACTTTTTTTCTCCCAGCCCCTGACAATGGCAGGGTGGGTGTGTGGAACTACACGATTCTTAAGGTCCCTTCCAACCCAAACCATTCTATGATATAATTTTACAAATATTAACGAGGGACTGCCAGGTCTTTCCAGCCAAAAGCTGGACACTGATTGCTGGGATACAGACCATGCGGCTACAGAAACGTCTCAGCAGCTGAGAGTGGAAGGCTTTTTTCCCCACATTTCTTCCAAACACATTAAAGTTGAAAAAGTCACACAAGCAGAAGGGCAGGAGCAGTGGTGTAACTCCTTTAGGGAGCCCTAGCAGAGCCCTTGTGGTGCTTTAGGCTACAGGCTAGTCCTCCAAATGGATGCAGAGCTCCCACATAATGCAGGGGAAAGAATTGATCTTGGTGGAAGGAGAAGATGGGATTCAGGAGAAGCTACAAGAAGGGGAATATCCATGCTTCTTGCTTGTGAGGGGCTAAAGCCAAACTCTTTTTAATCACTGTCCTCTCTTGTTCACCTCATCTTGTTGCTGGAATAAAGGTGCACTTCGGGAACTTACTCAAGTAGGCTTGAATAGCTATATCTGTTTGAGCTCCTTCAGAAAACCTGGCTCATTACCTTCCTGTTTTGTCATTTGCTGCTGTTCTTTTCATTGATTTCTTCTGTAACCAATGTTATTAATGTATCTTTTTAAGACAAAGCCTGCAATACCTACACTGCAAAGAAAAAACAAAACCAACAAAAGCCTTGATGTTTGGGTTATTTTGCTACAGCAGGTTTTTTTTGCTAAGTCCCTTCAACCTCCTAATTCTCCTGCCTCTTGCCCTTCCAACTTCTGCTGCATTTGAAAGAGGCCTCACTATTACACCTTTCAACAAGTTATCCCTCAAACTCTTTGTAGCCTGCCTTATTGTACTTTTGTGCTTTGCTTGCCACAGTTTTGGACTCTCTCTGTGCTGCTCTTCCTCAGTCACAACTTTAGCCTTCTTCCAGTGTGGGAACTAAGGTCCACTGAAGGAAGAAACTGAGCCCTTGAGAACAGGCCACATGCATGAGAAGTGGTGAAACTGCACAGCAGCCTGGGACTGGAAGAGAGACGGTTTCTTAAATGCACTTCCTTTTGGCTTTACAAGTGAAAAGTTACACATTCTTTGCCAACACAGAAGTTAAAAAAAAACCACCCCACCAAGAAACACAGCAAACCAGAAAGACACCGAGAAGAATTTCTCAGGTAGGAGGTAGTGTCACTCTTCAGGCTACCTTCTAGAAACTGGTTTGGCCTCTGCAAAATATGGGTCCAAAATACGGCACAGTACCTGCAGCTTGCCTCACCCCACAAGCTTGATGTGAAAGCAGCGCGTCTCTGGGTGAGAGACACCGTGGTGCCTTCAGGAGCCACCCTGCAAGGTCTCCCCCAGGAATCCTGCTTTTACAACTCATGCATTGAAAAGAGCAAAAGCAGCTGCAATAAATTTCATTCCCAGCCCACAGGAAAATAAATGAGAAAATCCACAACTCTGCTGTAGAAATGGCTCATCCCCAGGCAGGGGAAGCATTTATTCAAACAGACTAACATTTCTGTGGAAGCAGAAACGGTTTCCACACAGCCACCGTCCCAGGGAACTGCCAAGTGCAGATAAGCAAGGTGCTAGAAGGTGTTTTATAGCCACCTCACCAATCTGCTCCCTGGACTGCATTAGACTAAACCAGTGGACCAATTTAACAATCTTGGGACTTTAAAACCCCAAGAAACACAGCAAACCAGAAGGACACTGAGAAGAATTTCTCAGGTAGGAGGTAGTGTCACTCTTCAGGCTCCCTTCTAGAAACTGGTTTGGCCTCTGCAAAATATGGGTCCAAAATACGGCACAGTACCTGCAGCTTGCCTCACCCCACAAGCTTGATGTGAAAGCAGCGCGTCTCTGGGGGAGCAGGTAGGAGGTAGTGTCACTCTTCAGGCTCCCTTCTAGAAACTGGTTTGGCCTCTGCAAAATATGGGTCTAAAATACAGCACAGTACGTGCAGCATGCCTCACCCCACAAGCTTGATGTGAAAGCACCGCATCTCTGGGTGAGAGACACCGTGGTACCTTCAGAGGCCATCCTGCAAGGTCTCCCCCAGGAATCCTGCTTTTACAACTCATGCATTGAAAAGAGCAGAAGCAGCTGCAATAAATTTCATTCCCAGCCCACAGGAAAATAAATGAGAAAATCCACAACTCTGCTGTAGAAATGGCTCATCCCCAGGCAGGGGAAGCATTTATTCAAACAGACTAACATTTCTGTGGAAGCAGAAACGGTTTCCACACAGCCACCGTCCCAGGGAACTGCCAAGTGCAGATAAGCAAGGTGCTAGAAGGTATTTTATAGCCACCTCACCAATCTGCTCCCTGGACTGCATTAGTTAGGTTTTTTGAAAACTTTGCCTAGGAGGAGGCACCAACCATGACTGGCAGCAGGAGTTGTCCATCCGTTGAAAATTCACATAAATGTGTTGGTAAGAATCTCTTCCTGCTGCTGGTGGTGTAGAGTTCCAATGCCAACTGCTGGGGCTGGTAAAGGAGGTCTGCTCACGAGACGGAGCTGAAATTCAAGTCAGGAGGAAATGATTAATGAAGCACAAGCATAAAAAAATCCCATCTTGAGGTCCTCTGATGCCATGGTGATATCTACTGTCAGATACTGGGCAGTCCCAGCTGCAAGAAGTGCAGGAAGTTATCCTCCATCTCCTAAAGACCACAGCTCCAAGAACATTACAGAGCAGGATCTGCCAGAGCAAATGGCAGCTTTGGAGATGACTCCTACTCCCTTCAAGCATGTTGTTTCCTACCTGGGACCTTTCATCATCCTGTCTACTCAAGATTAAACATCTGGTAATTTTGGAGACAACTCCTACTCCCTTGTTGTTTCCTACCTGGGACCTTTCACCATCCTGTCTACTTAAGATTAAACTTCTGGTAAAAGAAATCTTCAGCCCTGCTCATCATGACTAAATGGTGCTACAAAGAGCATAAAGTAGCTTAAATTAGAACACAGATTCGTTTTAGTCATTAAGATTAGGTTTTTGTGTAAGCATCACAGAATTTTGCATTCAAGGAGAACTTCAAACTTCATTTTAAAGGCTAACACACCACAGGGACATCTTACCTTAATCCCCACCTGCTTTTCAAACCGTGGTGACACAAAGGACCATGGACCCATGTTCTGTGGTTCTTCCTGACTCCAGATAAAGGCTGAAGGAAGGATAAGGGTACATTACAAATGCACATAGTTATCTTTTCAGCAGCTCAAGAAAAACAGGTGGTTTTTTCTTTTGTAGCACCTCTGCCTTTGTCTTGGCACTATTGTTGAAATGAAAACTGCCCAATTGAATTCCACTGCAGCTCACAGCTTGATGAAGTCAAACTAAAAGTACATCCACCACTAGGGTATTAGTGTGGGTATATTCTGCTTTTCTACTACCATTTTCAAAAGTTACTTAAAAGGACTGGACTGCGAAGACCAATGCAAAAAAAAAAAAATGCCCCAAATGGTTCACTCTGATTTTTAGTCTAGAAACACAACGGTAAAAGTCTGGCTGACCTTTGGCACGGCTGTATTTGCTCAACTCTTGCTGTAGAGCTTCCAAGGGGAAAGGACAGAGTTCCTCAAGTCTCAGAATGGCTGTGTTGTGCTGCTTCTCTCCCAGTGTCTCTCTTTGCTTCACCAAAGCGTAGTAATGCTTTCCGGAGCACAGCACCACTTGGGTGACACTGAAGAAAAAGAGGAATGTTTCCAAGTTTAGTGTTTTACAAAAACTATGCAAGACAGTTTCATGCTTTAAGCAGTCAGCCAAACTTTAAAGATAACTTTATGAAGCTCAATTCCTACTCTAGAGCATCTTTTCTTTTCTTTGTCTTCCCATCCCTCCCACTCCCCTCCAACAGCTGGGAAACTAACCTTTGGGCACAATATGCCAGAGCCCAGAGGTCCTGCTTCTTCAGTAATCCTGGGACAGTTACCTTACAATGGGATTCACCTCTCTTATCTTTAACTATCTAAAAATTAAACACCTAGTCAAAGCTAGTCATCTATGCGCT